TATTATTATTATTATTATTATTATTATTATTATATTATTATATGAGAGCCAACTTGGCATAGTGGTTTGAGCGCCGGACTATGACTCTGGAGACCAGAGTTCAAATCCCTGCTCATCCATGGAAACCCACTGGGTGACCTTGGGTGAGTCACACATTCCCACCCACCCTCCAAAAAAACCATTATAGATTTGCCTTGGGGTTGTCATAAGTTGAAAGTAATTTGAAGGCATGCAACAATATATAAGCCAGTGATGGTGTAACTTTATTCCAACAGATGTGTTTTGCCTACAATCATAAGCAGTCATACATAGCCCAGCCAATAGTAAACACTGTGGAAGCTATCGGGCTGATGAGGCAAAAACATCCCTCAAAATGCCTATTATTATTTTTGGACATAACCCAGGAGAAATGAACAAAGAAGTATAAGGAAAAGAAAATCTTAATGAAAAACAAAATACAGGTCCAAAACACACTGCAGAAATAATACAGTTTGAGATCGCTCAGTGCAAGGGAATCCTGAGAATTGTAGTTTATTGTGTCACCAGAGCTCTGTAACAAAGAAGGCAAAAAGTCTCACAAAACTACAATTCCCAGAACTCCATAGCATTGAGCCAGGGCAGTTAAAGTGGTCTCAAACTGAATTATTTCTGCAGTGTGTTCTGTCTTCCTTCCAAGCTAGTATGTGAAATGAGGACTGTCTACCTATAGATTTTCCCAGCACTAGGCATTGAAGCATAACCATTCAAACTACAATATAATAGGAACAAGAATTTGTTTCTCAGAGCAGAATACATGGTGATGCTGCAATAACTTTGAGTTAAGTTTTCGTCATTGTGTGCCTTCCTCATTATCATGCTGTACCTTGTTGTAATGAGTTAGTCAATGCAGTTGTCAGTCCACATAGTTGGAATGGGATGGGGAGGAGGATGCTGTAACCCAATGACAAGCATGCTGAAACAAGGGGAATTGTTGTTCTCCTTCATGAGGGCTTTCTGCTTGAAAGGGAGTGCATGGCGTAAGAGCTAATGTGACTTTACAGAACCCCCATGAGCAGGAACCATACTGCACACTGTACATGCTCTCTTGCTTGCTTTGCCTGGGGGAATCCTGAGCTGCAGCATCAACACCCAATAACCTCCAGCTTACTATATAGCCTTTTCCAGCTCTTATTCCATTAATGCACATGCTCTGACTATAAGATTTTCTTTAGAGGGGGAAAGATGAAGATGCAAGAGGCTCTCATTGTATTTCTTCATCCCTGTGAGTTAACTAAATGTTAAGAGACCATTTTTTTAATTCAGTATTACTTAAGCAGAAAATAAGCCCTCATTCATTCGTCCTGTAAGTAGCATTTTTATTTTTACTAATTAAACAATTGTTTACTTTATAGTGGCAGTAAAAAATACTGAAAGTACTTTTAGCCTAAGGCAACCAGATGCCCCAGATTCATCAGGCCAGTTCCTTTTTTTTTTTAATGGACCTTCCCGTTGTCTGTTACAAATTGTCCGGGTGCTGAGCCATTCCAGTTTTTTCACAGCCCTCTCTCTCCCCTTCCTTGAAAACAGCCTGCATCCCAGCCCTGATGCACACACACTGCCATCATCCCTGACATCTGCACCATTAGACACCCAAAAGGTGGGCAGGTGGCCCAGTAGTAACAAAAACCCTACCTCCTTTCTTGGCTGTACCCCAACCACCCTGCTGCCCTAGCCACAAAAATCTTCCAGGATGCTAAGGCTGCAAATCTGGTCAGCTTATTTTAGCCAACCATACTATCTGGAGGGGAGAGCAGTGATAAAGCAATTATTATTGTTTGCTTCAAAATATCGATTGTGCTTTTAAAAAAACCCAAATAGCTTCAAGAAAACATTTGCTTAGATATCATTGCTTATTTGTGTTTTGCATTTTATTTAAAAAAAACTTGTCTAATGGAATAATTCTTTACTGTAGGGGGTATTGTTTGTGTACATTTTATGTTGTGGTCCCAAAGAAAGACATATTTGTACTCTTTGCCATTAATGCCTCTTTGGCTGCTAACCCTGAACAAATCACATGGAGCTGCAGTATGAGATTGTCACACTGTTGGGGGGAAATTTGCTGAACGAAAGCCCTCTAGAATAATACTGACATTAGTGGAAACCAAAGGCATAGCTCAAAGGATACTTTGCCATTCTTCCACAGCAAAACTGTATTTAACAACCACAGTAACAAAAAGACACAAAGAGCACATAAGTGCCTGTCACAACATGAAAAGGTTTTGTTGTGGGTTTTTTTGTTTTTGTTTTTTAAAAAAAATGTTTTAAGTGTTCGGGGCCATTTGGAGGCAGCTTGAATTGAATGAAAAGAAAATTCAGTAGTATAGCAGATTCTTTAAATGTCAGGGGACAAAATTCTATTTTTCTCTGAACTATGCACCTAAATTATAGCAGTGCCACTGTAGCTGTTTGAACTAAAGCTTGTGTTGGTGTATCTGTTCATATAAAGGCACCACTTAAGCAAAAGGAATATGATTGAGCCACAACATTGCCTGTCAGGGGTGCTGCTGGCTGTTTTTATTTTGTGTTTGTTTGTTTTTATTCCAAACCCGGAATGTTAGAGTGTGGAAAGTATTTGTGAACACCTTGGTTTAAAAATTCTCCAGAGATATATTGAGTGCAGGAAGAGCAACGTATTGTTAGGCAGTAAAATGAACAGTGTTTGGCAGCAGCTTCATTTGATCAGAGACAGAATTAAAACATTTATTTCAATGAATCACTGTTGTGAATCTCATTCTTAAAAGCCAAACAAAATGTCTATCATGGAAAGACATTTTTCTTCTTCAAATCAACTGCAAAGCAGTTGTGTCTGCTTTGCATGAAAATTACATTTTAAATTCAGTGTGTACTAAAAAAAAAGCTGGACTTATAAAAATCAGAGTTTGGAAATTTACTTTTTAAAAAGTAATTTGCTATAGTTATACCTTGGAGCCTCCAAGTGAATTAGTTACCAATGAAAAATGGCAACATTTTTTAAAAAACATTCTTACTTCCCTATTTCTCAAAAGTAGTGGTTTAAGTGTTGGACTAGAATTTCAGGAGACTAGGGATTGACTCACAGTTCAGCCATGGAAACTCACTGGCTGACCTTGGACAAGTCATGATCTCTTCACTCTAGAAGAAGGCAACTTTGATGCCTTCAAAGTTCACCATAAGTCAGAATCCAGTGGAAGGCACATAACAACAACTAAAATGATTCCTTCTTGGTTTCATTTTGTTTTGAGCATCCAAATGCTACATTTGCTAATATGTGGTACAAAACACATTTTTTCCTGCTTATGCCCACACCCATTTGACAGTACGAGAGAGTAACAAAAGCACAACATTTGGCTATGAGATACTATGCAGTACTGTGTAGTCAGGCCACAACCTGTAACTATAAAAATAACTAGAATTACAGTTAAACCACAAAAGAAGTTATATTACCTCCCATTAAGTTATTACTGTAATGTGATAAAGCTATGCTTGCATTATTGAAATTAATTACCAGTGATTACTTGTTAGTTATTTATAACTAGTTACTTCAAAGCTCTGGATTTATTCAAAGTCCAAATTTGCCAACATCTGTACAATTTATTCTCTTTCGGCTCATCAACACAGGGGAAAGGCAAAAGAGCTATATGGAGCATAGAATCCTCAAATCCTGATCATGGGAGATGCTGACCTGTTGATTATTTGTGCTGTTTAAAGTCCAAAGAGGACATTAGAAGGTGACCAGAAAAGAGTTTTTGTTTGTTTCCCAAGTTGCAACTGAGATGGTTGCTCCTAGTTTAAACAAGAGTTGCTCCATTTGAAAAGATTAAGAGGTATTTCTATTTCCATCCTCCCGTCATACTGTTGAGTATATGCTGTAAACTTGAAAGAGTTTAATGAGGTTGTTACACACTTGGCATTGGGGAGATGCAGCAGTCTTTGCTGCTGCCACCAATAAGATCTCCATGACTGGCAATAACTTCTCTAAATACTGTCCTGTGATATTGTGCAGGCAAAAATGTTCCACAGTAGAAATGTCATGATGTTATGCACTGACGCACAGCAAAGTTCTATTGCTGATTTCAGTGCTGTCTCACCCACAACTGGTCCAAACAAACACAGACAAAGATTTTTGCAAGGGAGCCAAAAAAGGGGGGAGACACAAATGAGGTAACATTTTTGCTATGAGTGAAATGAGAACAAAAAATTGATGAATACTTTGAACTCTGCCATGAGATTTTGACAGGTTAAGCTAGAGATGCATAGAACTTAAGATCTCCATGCTCTATACTGCACAGGCTTACAGTGTTATGTGAGCTACCATCATACAAGAAGTGGCAGACAAGCATATCAACAGAGCAAAAAGCATAAAAAGAGCCCTGGTGGAGCAGAACAAAGGCCTATCTCTTCCAACCTTCTGTTCCTTCAATAGCCAGCAAGATGCCCCAATCGGAACACCACAATGAAAATATTAAATAGCATCTTTCAACTTGGGTTGTCCAACATTTGGTGTTAAGAAGGATATTACTTTTGATGGCACTTTCTTCCTCTTTCTTCTCCTTTGCTGCCACCATTACTCTAAGAAAAATAAACAAAACAGCTGACAACTGAGGGCCAGAGATGGAAGTAACAATTGCTTCCATCACAGAGCCCTTAGAGGCTCTGGGCAAAATCCAATTGCTAGATCCAACTAGAGCAAATCCATTGAAACAATGTTTGATAAAGCTAAACGCTACATAAATCTGTTTATCTAATGGGTCTATTCTACATAGGAGTAGCAACTGTATTTAAGAGAATATTAGTAGCATTAACTATGATGCTTGCCTTAATTTCACTGATGCTGAGCATGGCTTTGGCCCACTAGATATCCCAGCAATGATAGCAGTGACTGAGTCTAAAAAGCTTCCCAACATTTTACATTTCCCATGAAGAACCTAACATAATGTCCCTCCCCCAGTGCATTGTGGGAAATTAAAATGGCATGTGGTTTCTCAGATGTTGTGGACAAGGGACTGGAGTCACTCCAGGATTCTCTAAGAGACTTGTATGACATCAAGACTTGCAGATGCCACCAGTGTAAAAGAAGATTTTATTGGTGATGATTAA